CGGTGTGACTTCCGAGGGGGACGGGCATGGCCCGGCGGTGCGGAGCCCCCGAGATCCTATTGTTGCCGGAGGACTTGACCTCGGAGCGATGGGGTCCATGTTAGGGGTGAAGAGTGGGGTCCATCCCACTAAAGTCAACTCCTCTGGGGTCTCTGACCTCACCTGTGAGTCCCCCGCACGAGCCACGAGTTGGGGATTGAGGTCGAGGTGGCTGTTGCAGAGCGAGACCTGGATTCTTGACTGTTTGTGTTTTAGTATCTTGATACTTCACTTTGTTATCCGATGGTATCTTATTTTTCTTTCACAAAGAAATAAAAAGTGCGCACACTCTTCGAGTTGAGGTCCAGCGTAGTTTCTCGTGATGTGGACGGTAATTCCGTGGAGGCCCGGGTGGAATTACACGAGATGGTTTTTTTTTTGTTGTTGTTGGTTTGTTTTAGCGTAAAATGTTGGTGATGGTGATCTCCCTCCCCTTTTCAGCTGCAAGGCCCTCGCTGTAAAGTCAGGCGCGGTGGTGGGATGCAGAAGGAAGGCGGGTGGAAGGGTGCCCGGAATGACGCTGTTTTGAGTCCGCCCAGCCCTGGATGTGAGATTAAAAAATCGGCTCCCGTGACCTCCCTGGTTTTGGGGTGACCCAGACCCGTTCATGGGGTCAGCACCGAGGTGCAGCCCACTGGTCGTGAATGGCAAGGAGGACCCATGGAGGACCCAGGTTTCTCAGCTTGTAGGCCGGGCTCTGTAGCTCAGGGCTCACCTGGTTACTAGTCACCACCTCGGTCATCCGAAGTAGGATGAATGGCCTGAAATGCGGGTCCCCGGCCCCCCGCGGGGCCACGTGAATGACAGTCTCCGGAGGAGAGGCCGGGCAGCCAGGTGTGTGAGGTTCTGCTCTAGGCCCCTTTAGTATTCCAGGTGATTCTCGTTCATTTCAGTTCCGGGGAGACTGCGTTTTTGCTTGTAGATCGTTGAGTTTGGGAGGTAGGGCAGAAGGGGAAGCCCGAGAAACTTAAACAGAATTGAGCATCTCCTACAGTTACTTGTGCAGGTGTTTAGGACACACTTGGTGAGTGAGGTACTGCCCGGCTGGGGGTGTATTCAGAGGGACGTGGAAGGATCTAGTGGGCAGAAGCGGAGGGAGAGGCAGTGAGTCTGCTTCTGGCTCCCGGAGTGGTCCAGGGAAGGTGCCTCCCATCATCCCCCATCCTGGTCGCTCCCAACCACCTGGCTCAGGTTCCAGGGGAGTGAGGGGAGGTGGGTGAGCTTCCTGAGACAAGGGTTGTGAACCAGGAAGGTTTATGTGGAAGGTCCTTGAAGTTTGCCCAGGCCACGAGGAGCGGTACAGGCAGTTTTTCAGTCTGTAGTTCTGGTTAGCACCTCATGTGGCGAAGTGGAATGCTGAGTTACGAAGGAGGTATTCATAGTGCAGCGGGGGAGGGGAGGCACCCAGTGTGCCTTACAGGAGCGTGTCTGCTTAGCCCCTTGGTTTCTCCAGTACCCGCTGGAGCTCCCTCATAGTACGCCATCGGATATTTGTTGAGTAAATGAGTAGTATTGAGATGGGGAAAAGAGCTGTTAAGGTGGTTGGTAACGTTAGTTATTAAAAGCTACTTGATATCTTTCTTGCATTGGAGTGAAGAGCCAGTTTTTAGCTCAAGTAGTTTGTAACTTTGAGTTCAAGAGATTGTTTTTCTAAAGACTGTCATTGGACACTATCCTGTCCCCTAGTTTTTAGATCTTAAATGTGTCTTTAAAAAATGTGCCTTAAATTTTTTAGGTGTTAGTGACTTTTTTAAGGATCACATGTTATTAGATGCAGAGACATTTAGAATAATGGGAAACCATAGATTGGCGGAGAGTTTGTGTGTCATTATTTTTTAAAGGATATTTAAAAAGTATATTTTTAATGATTTCAAAGAGGAAGGGAGAGGGAGAGAGGTAGAAACATCAGTGATGAGAGAGAATCATTGATTGGACTCATCTTGCACATCCCTTACTGAAGATGGAGCCTGCAACCCAGACATGTGCCCTGACCAGAAATTGACCTGGTTCATAGGTCGATGCTCAACACAGTAAGCTGGTGGGGCTGTGTCATTATTAATTGATTACGTGATTGCTGTTAGAAATGTCACATCTGGCCTCAGTTTTTTCATCTGTACATTAAGGGTTCCATTCCTTGATCTCAAGTAGTTTCTTCAGCTTGATTCTCCAAATATTTAATAATTTGTAATTAAGTTGGTGTTCATCTCAAAGGTACATGAGCCTTTTTAACTAAAAAAGGAACATTCTGCTTGGATTCTGCCTTTAAGCTTATGAATTTTAGATGTTGTTCAAAAGTGCTCTGGAAATTGAGTACATGTTGCAAGTATTATGCAGAAACAACATGCTTATGCTGTTGTAATTCACTTAGTGATGAAATCAAACGGATTTCACATAGGGAACTTGATAATTTAGTGTGAAGCCACAAGCATAAGGATGGTTTGGGGGAAGTTTGTGCAAGTTATGTGGCCAGTTTCTTACAGACCACCCAATTTTGTAATGTTCTATGGTGAATTTATATGTAATTTTATAATCAGTGAAATGTTGACCAAAGACAAAGTATCAAACCAAATTTGTATTGACTTGAACTAGGATTCCCAGTAAATCAAGAGGCTACTGAAATTGTTAACATTACTATTTTCAATCTTAATTTTATGATCAATATTGGTATCATACTTTCATCTTCACTTTTGTATCTAGAAATTTAACATACCTTTTAAGTTCACATTTGCATCAGATGTTCAAAATGAAAATTGTTGCAGCATGAGAGTGGGTAAATCAGTAAATCCTGGGTTCAAGCATAGGTTGTGCTCTTAGCTGTGCTGTTACTGGCAAGCCAGGTAAGGCCTTTGAGCTTCAGTTCCCTCCTTAGTAAATGGAAGAATACCAACTTCTCTGTCTCACTGTTGGGGAGGATCAAATGAAATGATGTATATGGAAAGCAATCTAAAAATGTAAGGGTATGATATTAGAATCCTATTGTGGTAGGATCCTCTTTTATTTTCTTGGAAGAGTTGGTTTGTGGAGCAATGGTAAACTTGCTAGGCATTCTCAAGTGCAGATTTTACTAATGTAACTGATACGACAACAAAAGATTTCTGTTTCTGTACTTTGCCTGGAGAAACCTTTCAGCACTTGTATCCCATCTGCCAATAGGAATAGTCACAGTGTTGCAGGAACTTCAGAAAGACCTGGGATGTCTCACATTTGTGCCAAGTTTTGCACTTGGAATAGACTTGCTGGATTTCACCCATTTTGTTATAATGGAGCTGTGGTGGAAGGTGGCAGTCACGGAGTTTAGTACGTTCTGTGTAAAGTTGTAGTGCTGTCTTTTCTAAATGGCAGGTGGCAATGCCACAGGGTAATGAAATAAATATGGTGATCTAAAAAAGCATTAAGCCCTGGCTGGGGTGGTTCAGTTGGTTGGAGTGTTGTCCCGTACACCAAGAGGTGGTGGACTTGGATCCTGGTCAGGGCACATACCCAGGTTTTGGATTTATCCCTAGTCAGGGGCCCATGCAGGAGCAACCGATTGATGTTATTTTTCCTCTCTCTCTTTCTCTCTCTCTCTCTCTCTCTCTCTCAGATTAATAAAATAAATAAATAAAATAAAGCATTAAAAATATCAGCACATTGCAAGTGGTGAAAGTATGTATTGATTTGGGAAACTTGTTTATTTTTTAAGTATATGATTATATATTTATGTGTTTCAAGGTAAAGTATATTTTTCTTGAGTTGTAAAACTTTGAAGCAGTTGCTTAAGGGCAAGGTACCTAGACTTTATAGTTATGCTGACTGTCTATAAGGCGTAAGAAATGAAAAACTATAAGAAAATTGTGAAGTTGGGTTAAATTAAAGCTACAGTATTCTTTTAAAGGTGAAATATCTCATAACTCTTACAAATCGTTGATTTAATGAACAAAGATAAGACATAAACTTACGCTAATGTTCTTACTCTTTCCTTTAGGTATTGTCTTGGTGCTGACCACTACAAATCATCTGGATATGCCCAGGCTTGGGTCTTTTATGTGCCTGTTAGAGTCTTTATCAGCGGTTCTCAACCTGTGGGTCTCGACCCCTTTGGCGGTCAAACAACCCTTTCACAGGGGTCGCCTAAGACCATCCTGCATATCAGATATTTACATTACGGTTCATAACAGTAGCAACATTACAGTTATGAAGTAGCAACAAAAATAATTTTATGGTTGGGTCACAACATGAGGAACTGTATTTAAAGGGCCAGAAGGTTGAGAACCACTGCTTTACATGATGTTTAGACTGATTTCATTATGAGAGATAGTAGCATGTAGCACGCATTCCTGATTTCATTTCTCTGGGTTCTAAATTTAATTTATTGTGTAGCTAATGCTTTTATAATTTAGTTGCAGAAGCGAAATATAAATTCATTCAGTCCTCTGAATTATCCATCGATTGATAATCTGACAAAATGTAAGGAATAATAAGTATATTGATTAATTTTACATTTGGAGAGAATTGGTACAAAGCTAAGGAAAAAGGTTTTGGAAGTGCCATAGGGCAACAGTAACGAATTTTAATTTAATTCTATTTAAATTTCAAATTTTAGAAAGTATTATTTTAGATTATAAAAGCTACAGAACATATTCAGTATGGAAATTTAAAAAAAAAAACTACGAAAAACAAGACTTGAGATAACCCAGGAGAATTAAAAAAGTAGAGGTAATCCATAATCCCACTTAGATGTAATAACTTGGTAATTCTTTTTTCTCTCTTATATATTATCTACTGAAATACTTACACAACAACTTTCCATGTCAAATTGATGTTCCCATAATGGGTATTTAGTGTTCTGTGGTATGGATGCATCATAGTTTATAGCAGTTCCCTGTTAATGGACATTTTCAATTTTGTTTTCTTCAGATAGTGCTGTGATGAACTGGTTTGGACTTTTTCTTATACAATTATGCTATTTCCTTAGGCTAAATATTTAAAGTGGGCTTATCTGGTCAAAAAGTATTTTAAATTTGAATATACTCAAGGTACTGTATTGATAGATGTTTATTTTAAAGATCCACCAACAGTGTACTAGTGTCCAACTCCACATGTTCTTGATAGTGATTTATTATCTTTTAGCTTGGTGGTGGGACCTTAAAATAGTTTGTTCTTTTGTTCGACATCAGGTTTTAGCCTTTAGAGCTTAACTCTGTGGAAGGGGCAGGTAAAAATGAAAGTGACAAGGAGTACTTCAGTGGTCTCTAAACTTTTTGATTGTTCATCCCAACAGTAAAAAAATTTTTTTGAGCATTAATCCTTAGTCTTTAAGTACTTATTTAATTGACAAACAATAAGTATAGTAACTGGTTAGTGTACCTTATAAAATATACCCCTCCCGCCAAAAAAATTAACAAGGGTGAGAATTAAAAATAAAGCTAAAAAAATATTTTTCTCCTTTACTCCAGTGGAGCTTCTTGGGTACTCCTTGAGGTATATTATACTCTGCTGTGGTTATCACAGCTTTAGACTCTTACGATATGTTGTTGGGCTTTTATGGATGATTTTTTGGGGGGCATTTCCACTAGCTCTGCAGATGGTCCAGCCTGGTTGGATTCTGATACTCTGCTTTAAAGTGTCCCATGCTGTGGAGAGTCATGTCTACAATAAGGGCCAACATATAAACCTTGCTCATAAAGCATCAGTTTGATATCTTTTTTCATTGTGGAGGTGACTGAATTTAGAAAAGGGCAAATAATAGGGTAGGAAACATTCTGAGTAAGTGTATTTCTCTTAAATGTGAAGAGCTGATATCGTGTAGAGTGTATTTTATTTTTTTAGAGAGAGAGGAGAGCAACATTGATATGTTGTTCCCCTTGTTTATGCATTCATTAGTTGCTTCTTGTATGTGCCCTGACCGGGGATGGAACCCGTAACCTTGGCATATTGGGATGATTCTAACCAAGGGAGAGGGATAGAGAGTTAGAAACATCGATCAGCTGCCTCCTGCACCCCCCCTACTGGGGATGTGCCCGCAACCAAGGTACATGCCTTTGACCAGAATCGAACCTGGGACCCTTCAGTTCGAAGGTTAATGCTCTATCCACTGAGCCAAACCGATTAGGGCTAGAGTGTATTTTAAAATGTCCATGCTTTATGGAAAGCAGTTCAGTTATAACATATCCTTATTTTCTAAGAGCTTAAGTGTTAGAGACTGAGTAAAGGGGTGAATAATTGCTACTTGCTTTCCTTTGCTTGCAAAGTACCACAATTAACCTGTCACTCTAATTCCATTTGGAAGAGCCTGAGCCTTTAACTTTTAAAAAATGCTTTCTCAGGCCAAACTTTCCATGATGAATCTTAGATTAAAAGGTAACTTTTTTCTTAAGTTTGAATAAATGCTTTTGATTTGCCCCACCTCCCCCTGTAAGTTATGGATGGCATCAGGAAATGGTGCTTTTGCACTAGAAAAATGTCTCCCTTTCTTCTCCCATCTTGGGGAACTTAATTTCAGTTATTTCTTATGGGTCATTGTCAGAGAAAGATATTATTGAAAAGAGCAACTCGAATGATTATTTTTTGCCAGTTAAAGAAATGAGATACTGTAATTTATACTGAAGATGATTGCTATATACAATGCTTTGGAAAAAAGTCCAGATATCCCTTTTTACTTTAAATAGCATGATTTATAAGGTTTTTTTTCACATCTTTTTAGAACTTCATGAAGATTTGAGATGTTATGACTCCTTTGGGGGCCACATGCCTAATGTTTGACATCTTATTTAAAGAGGTAGATTGTAAACCCTGCAGAAATAGGTACTGATGGCTGTTCTCCACTTCCCAGCACTTATTATACTGTCTAGTATAGAGTAAGTTATCAATGTGGATGGACTATTTCATATTTGTTTATATCAGTAAATAAGTTACAGCATTGTAAAACCAACGCTCACCATTTTTTGTAGATTGTTCCTTCATCTGATATGCACAGAAAATGTTTTTGTGGGAGAGGTCATTAAGTTTACATTAGCCTTTCAGGTATCATTTTACTTTCTGTTAATGATACTTTCAGGGTGACAAAAAAATTAGTCTTGATATAATAATTACTTTTACTGTGTGTGTCCCTCCTACTGGCAAGGCTGTGTATATATGTGTGTGTATTATTTATGTAATAGACTGCTCTTTAAAAGAAACATACTCATTAGTCTTTGGGTATATAATGATTCTTGAAACATGGACACCAGTTTGCCGTGGGGTGAATGAATGAAAAGGAGCAAGTATGATTTCTTTCACTTGTCTTATTCTCTCCAGTTCCCTGTACACATGGTTTTGGCTTACTGTGAAAATACTGAAGAGAATTAGTCTTTCAAAGAACTAGTATGTTAATTTCCTTTTTGTTTTGCTGTACTTAAAATCCTGTTTAGTAAGTGAAGTAATACTTTTATATATAAGAGGGACCTTGGAAAGACAGGAATGGAAATATTAATAATGATAAATTTCTGGCTGGTGGAATAGTGTGACTGTTTTCTTGCTTCATATTCCTTCCTCTGTAAAATCAATAAATAAAAATATTAAAATATACAATTGAATCCCTTTTGTACTCCTCAAATCTTATTTACATTATCCAGAAGTTATTTATGTTTCTTAGCTCATGCTCTTATATTCTTCCTATAAATAATCTGTGTGTATTTAAAATGTAGTATTACTGTGTTTCAAATATATATGGCACCTTAGTACAGTGATTTTCAACCAGTGCGCCACAAGAAATTTTAAAACATGCAATATCTGACTATTTAGTTAGGTACACTGACCTCTTTCCCCTTAGACTGTCAAATAAAAAGTGACAACTGTCAACGCAACAATAGCCACCCAGTGTGAATGAACGTTTTTATTGATTTTAGAGAGAGGAAGGGAGAGGGATAGAGAGATAGAAACATCAATGATGAGAAACACCGATTGGCTGCTCCCTTGCCCCGCATGCCCCCTTACTGGGCGTTCAGCCAGCAACTCCGGCATGTGCCCTGACTTGGAATCAGACAAGCAGCCTCTTGGTTCATGGGTTGATGCTCAACCACTGAGCCACACTGGCTGGGCCATATTTTACCTTTTAAAGTTATGATATAAAATGGCCATATAGAAGAGTGCATAAAACAAATGTGCTGTGTAGCTTAATGAATTTTAAAAATAAAGTGGAGAGCTTTTTTGGTATGTCATACCTGTGTCTATCAGAAGGGAAGGAGTTGATGGAGGACTAAAATTTTTGAACAGTTTTGAGGAATCTCAGAATACCGTATCTCCATCTTGGCTATGCCTTCATCTTACTATCTCTTTGGGCAAGTTGTTTAGTTTATTTTGGTATCAGATTTTTCTATAGAAAAGGATAATACCTAATCTTTGCAGGGCGATTAGGTGCAATTCAGGTAAAAATTATAGGAACATAGAATAGTATTACTACCAGGTGGGTCTTTAGGCCATTGAATTTAGGTCTTTTACCTTATAGAGCAGAATTATGATATAGAAAGGTAAAATGATTTGTCCAAAGACACACAGCTGATGATTATTAACATCATTCATTTGTATCAGCTTAAAACTTCCTGAGGCTTACATAAATATGCCAGGCACTTTTCTAAATGATTTACATGTATTAACTCATTTAATTGTCTGGGATTATTCTCAGAGGTAGCTATAATTATTCCAATGTTACTGATGTGGAAATTTTGGCAAAATGAGGTTAAATAACTTGCCTAGGTATTTGAGTTCTTGAATCTGAACTTTAAAAAAACACACACATTTTTATTGATTTCAGAGAGAGGAGGGGAGAGGGAGAGAGATTGAAACATCAGTGATGAGAGAGAATCATTGATTGGCTGCCTCCTGTAAGCCCCTTACTGGGGATCAAGCCCACACACAACCTGGGCATGTGCCCTTGACTGGAATCGAACCCGGGACCCTTCAGTCTGCAGGCTGACACTCTACCCATTGAGCCAAAATGAATGACTTGAACCTGAACTTTTAACTATTTTACTATAATGCCTAATTAAGTAAAAGCACTTAATGATTTTAGACAAATGTTAAAAAGGTTTTGTGAAGTAAAATTTTGGCTTTTTGAAGCCAAATTAGGAGAGTAACCTCATTTGTTGTGACCATCATGGTTCTGGGAAAGATTTATGTTAATATTTACTGCTTGGGTTTTATTCCCTTGACAAAGCTCTAGGTAGTTTTCTCTAAAATATATTTTTAATCCTAAGGGAATTTATGACTATTTTACAACTGTTGTTTAGATTTCTAGGCAAAATGTTAATAGAAGGGAGTTTTCAAACCTGGAAGCAGATCTAACAAGGGTTAATGTTCCTGCTTTGGTTGCTTAAGTAGCATCTGGTCCTTGTTTTCAGACCAATAATTAAGATTCTATGGTCTAAAAATTTTTTCAAACTAAGGTATAATTTATATACAGTGAAACTCTTTGAGTACAGTTCTGAAAGTTTTGGAAACATCATATTTTTTCTTCTGAGAGAGAGGGAGAGGAAGCAGGGAGGAAGAGGGAGGGAAGAGGGGGGGAAGAGAGGGGAGGGAAGAGGGGGGGAAGGTAGGGGGGAAGGGGAGGAAGAGAAGAAGAGGGAGAGGGAGAAACAGAAACATTGATTTATTGTTCCATTCATTTATACATTCTTTGGTTAATTCTTGTATGTGCCCTGACTGGGAATCAAACTTGCAACCTTGGCTTCTCAGAATGATGTTCTAACTAACTAAGCTATCCAGCCAGGGGAGAAACTGCTACGATCAAGATGTAGAATAGTTTTATCACCTCAAGAAAATTTCTCCCTGACCCTTTGGAGTCAGCCCCTTCTACTGCCCTCAGTGTCTGATAACTGCTTATCTGTCTTGTTACTATAATTTTGTCTTTTCCAGAATTTCATATAAATGGAATCATGTACTATGTAGCGTTTTGACTCTGGCTTCTTTTCTTTAACATAATACAATTTGAGATATCTGTATTTTGGGTGTCAGTTACTACTTTTTATTGCTACGTAGTATTCCTATAGGATGTACCACAGTTTGTTTATTCACTCTTCAAGCTCATTTGAGTTGTTTTCCAGTTTTTGATAACTACAAATAAGGTGCTATAAGAAGCATGCATTCACACATGCAGACACACGCGTGTATGTGACCATGTGTGTGTTTTTTGTTTTGTTTTCTTGTTTCACCTGAGGATATTTTTTTCATTGATTTTTTTTTTAAATATGTTTTTATGATTTCAGAGAGAGGGCGGGAGAGGGAGAAATAGAAGCATCAATGATGAGAGAGAATTATCAATCAGTTGCCTCCTGCATGGTCTCCATTGAGGATTGAGCTGGCAACTCGGGCATGTGACCTGACCCATAATCAAACCATGACCTCCTAGTCCATTGATTTTTTTTTAAAGATAGTAGGAGCGGTGGAAAGAGCGAGATAGATTGATTGCCTCCCAAACTCACCCACACTGGAGCTGGGGAATTGAACCTGCAATCCAGGTATGTTCCCTTGATTGGGAATCGAACCCCAGACCCTTGGGTGTGTTGGCCGATGCTCTGACCACTGAACCACCATTGCCAGGGCCCATGGATTTTTTTTCTTAATGGTTCTAAAAAAAAAGAAAATATGATGCCTTGACCTGGAAAAGCTTGTAGTTTTCACAGGTCATTGTAAATTGCTTAGTAAACTTCACCCCCCCAAAAAGTCCACTCTGGAATGGGAATAATTTGTTATGTAAATAATCTTACACTAAATCATTAAACTTTTTAAAATTTAGGCACACATACTTAGTGGATAAATTTAGTTATAAAACATTAGTGCATAATTTCATACTATGTTTTTAGTAGCTTTTGAATTGTGAATTCTTGACTTTTTTCTTTTAAGTAGCAGCATTAGGTTATGTAATTAGTTATGAAAAGTCTATAAGTAAAACATGTTTATTAGCACTACAGAGTTTCCTGTTCCTTTCCTCCCCTCCCCCAAGATGCCTGGAAATATTAACATTGGTAGCCAGAGTTTCATGTGAACAAGACGTAAGACATGTTTTGTGGTTTATGGTTGATTAGGTACTTGAACTAAATTATCCTCTATTCCAATGCAATGAGTTTTCTTTTTCTAGCAATGTAAGGCCGAAAGAAAGAAATGGGACCTTTTTCTTTGGAAAAGAGATTGCAGGCAGTTTTTGCAAGTTAAAGTTTTGAGGTTCTAATTCTGACCCTGCAGCAAACTACAGAGACTATGGTGGTTTGACATGTTCGAGAATAGTATGTGTGTTTGTATTTCTTTGGCTTAGTCTAGAGTCGTAGTTTAAGCTCTTCAGATTTAAATGTCTTTTATGATTTAGATATTTGGTGTACAGAACATTATTTCAACAATGTACATTTCTTCTGAGTTAAAATATTCAGAGAAGTGAATATTGCTTAGAACAAAGAGATATTATACTTCAAATGTGGTGATTTGGTAAGTGGAAATCTAATTTGTAGACTGTTATGTGTCTAGCTATTTTACATGCAAATATTGACCTGAAGATCCCCTATTTTGATAGAAATGGGGATTGCAAATTAACAGTTGGTCTCCTGTATGTGGCTACTTGAAATGGACAAGCTTTAGGCTCTTTTCCTGAGACTACAGTGTTGGTGACATAAGTCTAGAATTCCAGAATAGAGTTACCAAAATAAACCCTGGGAATATGGAGGTAGCAACTATGGGACCTGTGTTACAAATAAATTTTTAATTAGCTCTATTAGTTGCACACTTTATTTTCACTGCTACCTTGTGAAGCAGTAAGGGCAGGCCATATTATCACTCTCACTTTACAGGTGAATAAATTGTGTTTCATAGCTGTCAGTCTTGTCTGAGGTTGCACTGCTTGTGAATAGCTGAACTAGAACTTGAACCCAGATCTTCTGATGTCAAGGATAGAAGCTCTTTCCTATTGCAGTTTAGTATGGTGATTAAGAGCTCATGCTTAGTCCAGCCAGTGTCACTCAGTGGTTGAGCATCGACCCGTAAACCAGGAGGATACG